ACTGTTCAATTTGTTTTATATGTCTTGGCTTGGAAATAAGAATAATAAATAGTTCAGCGACTCTGTTCACATAAGTCTTGTTAGACATCCACCACCATCTTCTTGTGAACATCCATATTACCAACGACCTGAAAAGAATGATAAGTTAAAACGTCAGCGACAGCAAAACCTTTTTACGCTGTAATACAGTTACCTTAAGACTCTCTTTGGCATCAAATGCAGTAAACCCTGCTCATTTTTTGGATATGATTTTTCAGACTTACTAAGCCTTGAATTATCACACCCCATCTCCTGTAACTTTAAAAAACAGATGCAGACATATCTCTTGCCTATTCCTCCAGATCATCATCATCTTCATCATCATCATCATCCGCAGCAGCAGCAGCAGTGGTAGCAGCATTAAGGCTAAGTATAACAGGACTTGGAGGATATGTATTGAGTCCACAACCATTTCTTTTGAGGTCCGCAAAATGGGAATGTTGATGGCACTTCACACAAGAATTATTTGTCATTTGTTTTGCTTGGACACCACCTTAGCTCTGGTAGCCTGGATCTCTTGATCGATAAAAAAAAAAACTTAGAAAATTGTACCAACTGACTCAAAAATAACCAAAACCAGTAAAGAAATACTAAAATTTTACAAATACATAAAAGCCACGAAGATAAACTTAAATTTTTCTTTTAAACGGCAAGAATAAGAACATTGATGTAAAACAGAATGGAGCAACAAAACAACAACAACAACAACAAAACAAACAAACAGAAAAGACATTGCTGTCAAAACCTTGTTGCCATTAAAAAATCAAGTCACACGAAACTCAAATATTTTACTATTTACAACTGAAATGTATCATTTAAGATCATTTAAGTCAGCTACTTGCAGATTAAGATTAACCAGTGTATGATAGTATTATCGCTATATCTTAAGTTAGACTGTCATTAGCATCATCATCGTCATCACCAAAAGCAAAACAAAACAAAACAAAAACAAAGAAAACAAAGAAACAGACAAAAACAAGACAAAAAACTCTAAACTGAGAAAACAAGCCACTAGTTATAAACCTTACAGAACAAAATTCACTAAAAGAGATTTTTCCATCGCCATCTGTTGTCGGCATTTATTACTGTCTTATCCACAATTTGTTGAAGCTGTGTTTCCTTCAGATTGTTTCCTACCATCATCTTAAGAACTTGGAACACTTCTCCATTTGATATGTTACCATCTTTATCCATATCATATATCATAAAGGCAACTAACAAAAAAAAAAAGATTAAATCAAATGATGTGATTACACTGTACCTCAATAATTTTTTTGTTCCGTTATGCATGATAATATATGGAGTTGTTGAGTAATTTAGCATTGAAAGCCAAATTGTTCTAAATAAGTGTTGATCATGAAGAATAATAGTCTTCTTTTTTTTCTCTTCCTATAAGGAACTAGTTAAAAGAAACTATGAAACTGAACGTCACATTGCTGCTAAGTACAATAATAGCAAGATACTAGAGGCTAAGTGGAAACCCGTTCTGAATTGTAATTTGCTAAGTACATAGGTGTGTAACCGATAAAAAAGATGTAAAAACTAGTGTAAGAATTGTACTCTAAGGAAGTATTGTATAGTAAGTGGTATAAGTAACGTATCGTTAGTGGTATTGTAAGTAGTGTCTGTCTTGTTTTGTTAGTAGTGTCCTTTGTGTTGCAATAAAAAAAAATAATAATAATAATAAAAAGGTGTTGATCATGAATGATATGGAGCGCCAAGTTTATTTTTCTAACCTGATGGCACATCAAAGTGGCGGGGATGCCAAAACACTCAAAAGAGGCAAACAACAATAAGAGTTGCAGAGTGTACAGTTACATGAGAGTTTTCACTAAATCTCAGTGCTTAAATCAAATGGACATGAGAGTCTACAAGAGTCTGATGCAAGCTGAAATGTGATTTTCTGTCTCTTGTTATATCATAATCTTTGGAAAATACATCCCATAGGCAAGGTCACGTCAGGTCTCGGGAAGTGTGAACTAATAATAGTATCCCAGAATAAAGAATTTTCCATCGTAGTTGTCCACAACATCACCGAAGCCTGCGTGTTCCGTATTTTTCGTCACCAGAAAAACGAAATCGTTTGCCGCTTGAATTTCTTCTGCACTAGTCTCAAACGTCGAAAACATAAATTATTTTGGAGCACAAATCATTGTTATCAAGGCTAAGAACATAATTAACATTTTCGAGGAACCCGATGGCGTGTTTCTTAATTGCCATGCATCTAATTTTCATTTTTCCACGTATGACCACAAACGCATACAATTAAAGACCATATCATTTCACTGCTTCTTTTCATATAATGCGAGCTTAAAATTGGGGATAGCAGGGGGTTCTGAACGCATGGCATAAGATAAATAAGTATAGGTAATCGTATGAATGCGACTGCAATTAAGATCTACACTACGAGTGATATTTGAATTTTTCCCACAAATTACACGACCTCTTAGGCACTCAAGTGTAAATGGAAACAATTAATGATAAATTCGCCTTCTCTCAGCCAATCAGAATAGAGTAATTGTTTCAGGGTAATAATGAGTGAAATAGAGATTGATTTGAAGATATGATATACCGGCGGTTTAGACTGTCTGCGACGCAGGCTACCATCCACTCCATCACAGGAGTCCATAGTGTGCGAAAACACGCCCATAGTTCTTTATCTTCCGATTTACACCACGGCTTGACTTCAAAGAAAATGATTAGTAGCCTC